TAGCAGCACTGCTCTAGGTAACAAGGCTCTTGAGCAAGGGGTGTTTGCTAACTATAGCTCTTCTGCCAACTTCCTTACCAAGTATAGTTGGAACTTCTCTTTTAGAGAGGGTTATATAGTAAGTAATCATCAATATTTGCTTTCTCATTCTCTCTTTGTGAACCCATGTTCAGACTTTCATTTTAAGTCCTCTTGTCTGATATTTGGTCTCTTGGTAGATAGTTAATTACATATTGTGTTTTAGTGGGTAGATGATGGCCAGGTCTACATTTTTTTTGAGTTTTATATGAATATAGAACAATTTTTTTTTGGTCGGTTGTGGGACTTGAACTCTGGGCTTGGGCGCTGTCCCTGCACTCTTCAGCTCAAAGCACGAACTCTACCACTTGAGCCACAGCGCCACTCCCTGTTTTCCTAGTGGTTTATTGGAGATAAGAGTCTCCCGGACTTTCCTGCCCTGGCTGCTCTTGAACGGCGATCCTCAGATCTCAGCCTCCTGAGTAGCTAGGATTACAGGCGTGAGCCACCAGCGCCCGGCCAGAACAAATATTTTTATAAACTGACGAATGGCTGTACAAACCCATTGTACGAAATTCTATTTATCCTGTTCTTGATCATAGACAGTATTCTTTTTTGTAAATCCAAAATGTGTTTATGGGGATGGTTTCCCATTCATCTTGATTCAGAGTGCTTTTAGTATTGCTTCTTTCTGAAGAACAATCTTTCTATAGCCTTTGCTCTTCCTCCTGTACTCTGGGGAACCCGGGAATGAACAATACACAAAACTAACTGTGTGTACATGGGTAAAGACCATAGTCATTTTATGGCACCCTGGACATTTCACACCCAGAAAGTAGTAATTGAGGTTCCTCTTGGGTTTCCTTCTTCCCTCTTCTGGAAAGGGATGAAAGACAGGAAATAGTCTTAAAAACAAAACAAAACAGTAAAAGGGCTTGAACTCAGGGCTTTGGAGCTCTGTCCCGGAACTTTTTTTGATCAAGACTAGTGCTCTACCACTTGAGCCTGTAGCTCCACTTCTGGTTTTTAGGTTGTTAATTGGAAATGAAAGCCTCCAGCCTTTTCTGCCCAGGCTGGCTTCGAACTGTGATCCTCAGATCTCAGCCTCCTGAGAAGCTGGGATGACAGACGTGAGTCTCCAGCCCCGAGTACCAGACAGTATTCTTGTGAAGAGATTATCACTGCTAGAAAGCCAAAGATTCTTTTTCTCTACTGACAAGTAAAAGATAGGACTTCCATGAATTGATTGCTTTTTTTCCAACTCAAACATAGCTACACATTTGATGGTACTGCTTTTGTACTGAAAATATAATTATCGTAAAGAGGTGAATTTTGTGACAAAATATCTTAGCCAGGCACCAGTGGCTCATGCCTGTAATCCTAGTTGCTCAGGAAGCTGAGATCTGAGGATTGTGGTTCAAAGCTAGCCCTGGCAGGAATGTCCATGAGACTCTTTATCTCCAGTGAACCACCAGAAAACTGGAAGTGGTGCTGTGGCTCAACTGGTAGAGCACTCACCTTGAGCTGAAGAGCTGAGGTACAGCATCCAGGCCCTGAGTTCAAGCCCCACAACTGACACCCCCCCCAAAAAAAAGTCTTGAGGGGCTGAGGGAGGTTAGAGATGATGGGGGAGAAAAACAGTGGAAGGGATCACATTGATCAAGATGCATTGTACTCCTAAACTGATATGTTGAATGGACATGAGCCACTGGTGCCCAGCTAAAGACTTAACCTGTTTATTGGTGTTAAGGACTAACATTTAGAGTAGTTGCCATTCAGAAACAATGTGGATCATTTTATTTTGCCTGGAGTTGCTTGTTCTCTTAGAGGTCTTCAAAATTAATCTTAACATACTTTTACTAGCCCAACTGGGAGGGTTCAGGAGATTCCTTAGCTTGTGTTGGTACTTTCCTCTGCGCTGGTGAATGTATATACTTGGAGATTAGATGCCTGATGATGCAAAAATGTGCCTCACATTTTTGATCATCCAGAGCTGTCCTTTTGGCTAGGTTTGTCCTTCCTTCCTTCCTTGCTTATTTGCTTACCTTGCCAGTACTAGAGTGCTGCTGTCTTTTTGTAGATAAGATTCTCAGGGACTTTTCTGTCCAGGCTGCCGTTGAACTGCAATCCTCAGATCTTAGCCTCCTGAGTAGGTAGGATTACAGGCATGAGCCACCAGCACCCTGCAGCATGAGTCTTAAGTAGTATAAACTCTTCATTAGAAGGAATTTTTAATCCCACATGAAACTCAAGAGTTGGTTCATTGTCATTCTATGCATATCTTAAGGGAGACCAGAATTAATATATGTGAGTAATTTACTTTTTGTTGGGAGAGGCACCTTAAAAAAAAACACTGCTTTTTTTTTGGTCAGTCCTGGGACTTGAACTCTGGAGGCTTGGGTGCTGTCCCTCAGCTCTTTAGCTCAAGGTGAGTGCTCTACTGCTTGAGCCACAGTGCCACTTGTGTTTTTCTAGCGGTTTATTGGAGATAAGAGTCTCACAGACTTTCCTGCCCGGGCTGGCTTTGAACCATGATCCTCAGATCTCAGCCTCCTGAGTAGCTAGGATTACAGGTGTGAGCCACCAGCACCCAGCAAAACTGCTTTTCTTAAGTCACAAAAACATGAGAAAGTACTGCCATGTAGGTTATGCTGTGTACACGGGGTGGGGTTGTCCAAAGTTGAAAAGCGCCTTTAGACCTTAAGCTCCTGGTTTAGAAAGATGAACAAAGTTCACAAGTCGCAACAAGTCTATCTGCCAGAGATTCTTCGGGCCTGGTACCAGCTGCAGATTAACAGAAGAGATACATAATCATGGTCACATTGTTAGTCATAACCAGGTAACAAACACCTGAGACCATTAACTTAGAGGGAAGGTTTATTTTGATTCAGTGCTTTGGGCTTTTTGATCCTTGATCCATCAGTCTTGGAGTTTGGGGGTCTGTCGTAAGGCAGACACCCCAGATATTTAGGAGGCTGAGATAATATACCGAAGAAGGTATGCTTTTTATGAAAGAGAAGAGATGGGTTTGAGCACAAAGTGAAAGATTAAAAAGATTATTCTATGTACCATTAATGAAGGAAAACATTCTGGTTTTTAGTTTTGAGACTAGGGTATCACTTTGTATTCCAAGCTGTCCTGGAACTCAGGATCCTCTTGCTTTAGCCTCCTAGTGTAGGATTATAGACATACACCACCACAACCAGCTAGGAAAAACATTTGGTCAATTAAAGTACATCGTCGTTGATAGTATGATGTGTGGCTGTGTGGGAGGGTATTCTTAAAATTGATGACGTAAGTTCTAACATATCTATGATAATTTAGTGGTTTGGTGGTAGAAAGAAATACCAGATCCTGCTTGAGATTTCTCTTCTATATATTTGCTGATGTTGAGTTCTTCACAGTTAGAATGCTGTTAGAACATAACTGAGTTCTTTTGTGGAGTTGATGGCTCATGCAGGAAAGTCTGTGACACTCTTACCTCCAATGAACCACCAGAAAACCGGAAATGGTGCTGTGGCTCAAGTTGGTAGAGCTCTCGCCTTGAGCTGAAGAGCTAAGGGATGGCACCCGGACCCAGAGTTCAAGCTCCACAGCGGATTAAAAAAAAAAAGAAGAAGAAGAAAAAAAGGAAAAGAAAATTCCTAGTTACCCCAGTGTAAGGTAGAAGTCAGAAGAAAAAAAAAAGCCAAAATTTAGGTGGAGTGACCAGATTTCTCATTAAGAGTTGTATTTTTATTTCTTTGTGTGTATGGTGGGCAGGGAGGAGGGGGTGTTAAACTGTTCAGTAGTCCCTTTGCTGAAAGTGTGAACAGAGATAAGTTCAATTATATTTTGTGTGTGTATGTGTGTTTTGATATTAGCACTTAAACGCTGGGCTAAGGCACTATCCCTTAGCTTTTTCACTCAAGGCTGATATTCTACCACTTGATCCACAGCTCAACTTCGGACTTTTTGGTGGGCATAAGAGTCTCATAGACTTTCCTGATCCCGCCACCTTTGAACTGGGATCCTCAGATCTCAGCCTCCTAAGTAGCTAGGATTACAGAGCTGGGCAAGAATTTTCTATTTCCTTGTATATATTGTTTTTTAATCTGATTACCTGAGCTCTCCTTTTGTTTAGGATTTTCCCACAAATGTGTTATTCAGAAAACAAATATCTGCTGGGTGCTCTTGACTCACATCTTTAATCCTAGCTACCCTGGAGGCTGAGAGCTGAGAATCATGGTTTTTTTTTAAATAATAATTTTTATTGAGATTAAATGATTACATAAATTTCACAAGTTTCACAGAGTTGTAGGATAGTGATACTTACTTAAAGTTACACAGTTTAACCTTCACAAGGCAAATTGTCATTATCTTAGTCTATAAGAGAATCCTGTTTTGAAGCCAGCCCAGGCAGGAAAAGTCCTTGAGACTCTTATCTCCGGTTTATTACCAAAAAAGGTGGAGTGGAGCTTTGGCTAAAGTGATAACCTTGAGCAAAAGAAGCTTAGGGAGAGTGTCCAGGCTCTGAATACAAGGCCCCCTCCCTCCAAAAAAAAAAAGACCCTACCTCTCTGGGTCACCAGTTCATTTCCATGGGTAGCTTCCTATTTCTCTTTGCAATCTACTTTGAATCTATCCTCCCACTGAATTGAGCCACTTACTTTCCTCCTTGCTGCTACACTGTACATATTTCTTTGTGTTTTTGTGTTGGAATTAACTTTTGTTAACAATTACATTTTGAAGTTTACAGGAAACTAAGCTCCTCAGGGCAGCGATTCTGCTTTATTCACCTTCCAACTGTAGCACTTAGCATGGGGCAGTACATTATCTTCAATAAGAATCTGTGTAAACTAAATGCACAGGCTATGAAAGAACTGATAGTTCATGTAGAATATACTTGTAGGAACCAAATACCTTGCTTTAACATAAACAACTTTGATTTCAATCTGTTCTTAGTATTTATTTCTTTTTTTTTCTTTTGCATGTTTTCTTGGATGAATGGAAATAGAGAAGAAGAAAATGAGGTAAGTAACAATTCATTCAGTTCACCTTTAAGTACAGCTTAGAGATTGAATAAAGGCTAAAAATTGTTTTAAGCTGTCATTTTTTAATTTTTTTATTACTATTTTTTGGTTGGTCCTGGGGCCTGAACTCTGGGCTTGGGCACTGTCTCTCAGTTCTTCAGCTCAAGGTTAGCGCTTTACCACCTGAGCCCCACAGCACCACTTCCGGCTTTTTCTGCTTATGTGGTGCTGAGGACTCAAACGCAAGGCCTCATGCTTGCAAGGCAAACACTCTACCATGAAGTCACCTTCCCAGCCTCAGAAAAAATGTCTTTTAGGCTTTAGAGCTTCAAGAACTTCAAGAAACCTAGAGGGCTGGGAAGGTGGCTCAGTGGTAGAGTGCTTGCCTCGCATGCATGAGGCCCTGGGTTCGCTTCCTTAGCACCACATAAGCAGAAAAAGCCAGAAGTGGTGCTGTGGCTCAAGTGGTAGAACACTAGCCTTGAGTTGAAGAGCTGAGGGACAGAGCCCAGGCCCCAGAGTTCTGGCCCCATGTCCGACAAAAAAAAATAAAAATAAAAAAATATATAAACAGAGAATGTTGGGGGGAAAAAAAGAAACCAAGAAGCAGCTCTGGAGACACCTTTTTTTTTTTTTTTGGTCGGTCATGGGGCCTGAACTCTGGGCCTGGGCACTGTTCCTCAGCTCTTTACCTCAAGGCTAGCACTCTACCACTTGCCACAGCACCACTTTCGGCTTTTCTGTTTATGTGGTGCTGAGGAATCAAACCCAGGGCTTCATGCATGCAAGGCAAGTGCTCTACCACTGAGCCACCTTCCCAGCCCCTGGAGACAACTTTTCCCTGATTCTATGTAAGATTTAATTTCAAAGTGGATTCTGTTTCTTAAAAATAGTTAATCATTGCTCTATAACACAAAAAAACTTTCACTTTTCCACTTGAATAATATTGCATACTTTTGAGAACTGATCTCCTATTTTATCATATTCAGGGTGAAAATTACTCCCTTACACAGCCAATGTTGAATAAAGAACATCACTTACAGAACTTTTGTAGATAGCAAATAATGTTCTTTAATTTAAGGCTTGAGTTGCCACACAGGCATCTGATTTTGTGATGCCAGGGAATTACTTGCTTTGTTGATTTCTAATACTTCTCAGACCACACAGTTTTTTTTTTTTTTGGTCCAGTTATGGGGCCTGAACTCTGGGCCTGAACACTGTCCCTCAGCTCCTCAGCTCAAGGCTAGTGCCCTACCACTTGAGCCACAGCGCCACTTCCGGCTTTTTTCTTATGTGGTGCTAAGGAATCGAACCCAGGGCCTCAGGCATGCAAGGCAAGCGCCCTACCACTGAGCCAACTTCCCAGCCCAAGACCACACAGTTTTGAAGACAGTGATCCTCCTGACATATCGTGGGAGTTAGGTTCCAGAGACCCCCCCACATTAGGTGAAGATCCATGAAGTAGCAGCCTTATGTAGTCGTCCCTTACCATATCAAGGTTCATTTACTGCTACTTTGAGGATTTTCATCTAATCACAGGGATCTCTGGAACATAACTCCCACAATAGGTGAAGGATCACTATTTACCCTTTGTTTTTGAACCCACAATAAGTGAACTGTGATATAACAAGGGATGACTTTACTAAGATAATAATTACTATCCCTAATGTATACATAAGGCATAAACTATATATTGTGTATAAAAATTGTTTTTGTAAAATGCTATCTTATCAAGTAGCTTATTTGCATGTATGAAAATAGAACAGTGATCTAGGTAACAATGACTCATGCCTGTAATCCTTGCTATTTAGGAGGCTGAGATCTGGTAGATTCAGATTAAATGTCATCCTGGGTGGATGTCTCCATGACTCCATTTCCAAAATAGCAAAGAGAGCAGCACTGAAGAGGTGGCTCGTGTGGTAGAGCACTCACTGTGCAAACAAGCACATGAGGTCTTGAGTTCAAACCCCAATACCACACCAAAAAAATTAATTAAACAATAGAAGAGCAGTGAAATTATTTTAAGAAAGGGACAGGGCAGGAAGTTTAATCAATACATTGTATGCATGTATAGGCATATCACAATGATCTCCCCTTGTTCAATTAATGTATGCTTCTAAGAAAAACACTACCTAGAAAATAGTTGTGAAATTGGAAGACAATCTTTATGTGACAGAAAACAACAATAGAAAACTATAGGTAATTGTTGGAGGTGAGAGTAGATATCTAGGAGTGTATTATACTGTTATCTATACTATTGAATGTGTTAAATTTCCATAAGAGCTTATAAAATCTGTAACAGTGAGATTTACACTATTGTTCAAAACAACTTCTCTGACAGACATTTTGAACTGTAATGCAGGCATTTGATAATCACTACTGTTTATCAACAATTGTTTGTTTTCTTCATTTTTAGGCAAAGATTGAAAATGTGCAGAAAACAGGTTTTATCAAAGGACCAATGTTTAAAGGTGTTGCTTCAAGTCGATTTTTGCCCAAAGGCACGAAGACAAAAGTTAATTTGGAGGAACAGGGGCGGCAGAAGGTGTCATTCAGCTTCAGCCTTACAAAGAAAACATTGCAGAACAGATTTCTCACCGCACTTGGCAATGAAAAGCAAAATGATACTCCAAACTCTCCAGCTATACCTCTTCAAGTAGACTCATCCCCTAAAAACAAAATGGACAGCGGGGAAACCTTATCTATTACAGAGGAATCGTCTCCTCCCAAATCAAGAGTGGAATTGGGCAAAATTCATTTTAAGAAACATCTACTACATGTAACCTCTCGGCCCCAGCTGGCTACTACCACATCAATAACGCCTCCATCTCCTCCCACTGTACACATACCAGCAGTCATAGCAGAATCGATTATAGACTCGCCCCCTTCATCTCCACCTCCACCACCTCCACCTCCCCAAGCTACAATACCCTCACCACCAGCACCAATAGCAGAGCCAGTGGCCTTGCCACAAACACCAGTAAAAGTTCTGGCCGCACCTGTTTTCTCACCAGAGGATGTAGCAGTTAGAGCTCTGAAAGAACCACCAGTTACCACCGTGCCGGAATCTTCAGAGGGGGATAATAAGCATGATACTGTATCGAATAGTGCAGAAGAGCAGGTAACTGAACATTTGAAAGAGCAAGTTGATACTCTCTCGCAGAAAGAAGATTCCCATATTGGGAAGGAAGAAGAAATTCCGGATAGTTCGAAGATTAGTCCGAGCTCTAAGAAACCAGGTTCTAAAAAGAAGTCCTCACCCTTTGAAGGCACCTTTCTTGCTTCAGAATCTGACGAAGATTCTGTACGGACTTCATCAAGTCAGAGATCACATGACTTAAAAAGTTCAGCAAGCACTGAGAAGGAAAGAGATGTGAAAAAGAACTCAGCACCTTTAAAAAACAATGAGGATTCAGGGAAATCGCGCTCTAAAACAGAGAGAGATGATAAATATTTTAGCTACTCAAAACTTGACCGCGATCCTCGGTATGTGTCTTCCCGGTGCAGGCCGGAAAGAGAGCGAAGGCGGAGCAGATCACGTTCTAGATCAGACAGAGGCTCCAGAACGACTTTATCCTATTCTCGGTCAGAACGGTCTCATTATTACGAGTCTGACAGGCGCTACCATCGAGGGGGTTCCCCTTACCGAGAGAGGACCCGCTATTCTCGGCCGTACACAGACAACAGGGCGCGAGAGAGTTCCGACTCTGATGATGAGCATAAGAAGACATACTCCAGGCGTACCTCATCTCATTCCTCCTCTTACAGAGACCTAAGGACATCATCCTATTCCAAATCTGATCGGGAGTGCAAAAGCGAGAGCTCTTACTTGGAGATGGAGAGGAGGGGCAAGTATTCAAAACTAGACAGAGAAACAAAGAGGATATCAGAAAACGAAGCAATAAAGAGATGCTGTTCTCCCCCTAGTGAACTGGGCTGCCGAAGGGGGTCATCCTATTCCAAGCACGATACCAGTGCTTCCCGTTACAAATCTGCCCTTTCAAAACCTCGATCCAAGTCTGATAAACTTAAAAATTCTCTCTGCTGTGCAGAATCCAATGAGGAAAGCAAACAGTCTCCTCCTTTGGGCTTACAGACGCCTTGCTTGAAAACTAGTGAAGTCAGAACAATGACTAAAATCCCTGAAAGAGAAAAGACTCGGTCCTTGTCTCCATCAAATCAATTAAATGATTCCCCTCCTTTAAAAAAGATAGATGGGTCACCTGTTTTCAAGTCTGAATTTATAGAACACGATTGCCACGATAGTATTAAAGAACTGGACTCTTTATCCAAAGGGAAGAAGGATGAATTGAGAAGTTTTTGTCCCCTTGAATTCAATGTGAATGGATCTCCTGGGGCAGAATCTGACATGGCAACATTTTGCACTTCTAAAACAGGTGCTGTTTTGATGACTTGTGATGATAGTGTGAGTGGATCCGAGGTGTCCCCTTTGGCTACAGTGTGCATGCTCTCATCAAATGGCTATCAGAGTATCAGCAAATGCAAAGAGAAAGACTTGGATGATATATGCTTGCAGCATCCATCAAAAAGTCCACTGAGAGAAACAGAATCTCTAGTGTCCCCACACGATAAACTCACCTCTTTGCCAGTCATAACTATAGATTATTCCAGAACAGTAGTTAAGGAAGCCTTGGAGAAGAGAGTTTCTTGCTGTAAAACCAAAGATTCAGATAGATACTGTACTGCAGATGAGAGTACCCCTTCTTTCTGTTGTTCTGAAGTTGAAAACGTTGAGCCTTCAGTTAGGAAGATTTCATCCAATAGCTTTATGAATGTGCACTTAGAATCAAAAACAGTCTTATGTGATAATAGAAGTCTGACAGATCAGCACTCAAAATTTGCATGTGAAGAGTATCAACAGAGCGTTGGTAGTACTAGTTCAGCTTATGTTAACCATTTTGATGATTTATATGAACCTATAGAGAGTTCAGACATCGCTTCATCTCCAGGGATAAAAGCGGACAGTTTAGCTCTTTTGCAAGGTGATGAGGACACCTCTCCAGTTCCGGATGCAGTGCTGACAGATAAAAATAGTACAGAGTTTTTAAAGCATGCCGAAACAACCATCGAAGTGGATAGTGGCCTTCCTGATTCAAGAAAGGGATTTGCTTCCTGGGAAAACAGGCGTAATAATGGATTATTAGGTCATGGTTTGCAGGAGGCTCAAGAAGAAGGGAATTCCATATTGCCTGATAGAAGAGGAAGACCAGCCATCTCTTTGGATGAGGAAGGAGAAAGGGGACATGCACATACTTCCGATGATTCAGAAGTTGTGTTTTCTTCTTGTGATCTGAATTTAACCATGGAAGACACTGACGGTGCACCTTATACCTTAAAGTGTGACAGTAGTGGTCATGCTACTGAAATTGTGTCAACTGTCCATGAAGATTATTCTGGTTCTTCGGAAAGTTCAAGTGATGACAGTGAGTCAGAAGATACAGAGTCTGATGATAGCAGTATTCCAAGAAACCGCCTCCAGTCTGTTGTGGTTGTGCCAAAGAACTCTACGTTGCCCATGGATGAAACAAGTCCTTGTTCTTCTCGGAGCAGCCAGAGTTACAGACATTATTCCGATCACTGGGATGATGAGAGATTAGAGTCAAGGAGACATTCGTATGAGGAAAAGTTTGAGAATATGACAAGTAAAGGCTGTCCTCAAACGGAGAAGTTCTTTCTTCATAAAGGAGCAGAGAAGAATCCCGAAATTTCTTTTACACAGTTCAGCAGAAAACAGGTAGACAAGCATCTGCCTGAAATTGCTCATCCTCAGAGTGATGGGGTTGATAGTACAAGTCATGCAGATGTGAAATCTGACTCTCTACTAAGTCACCTGAATGCGGAGGACATAGTAAAAGGCAAAACATCTAGGCAACAAGAAGAGCTTCCAGTTTATTCTTCGGATGATTTCGAAGAGATACCAAGTAAATCCCGGCAACAGATCCCTTTCCCTAACCGGCCAGATAGCAGACTGGGGAAAATGGAGCTAACTTTTTCTTCCTCTTGTGATATCTCCCGCATGGACAGCTTGCATTCCTCGGAGGAGCTCAGAAACCTGGGCTGGGACTTGACTCAACAAGAAAGGCCTACGACCACCTATCAGCAGCCTGACAGCAGCTATGGGGCCTATGGGGCACACAAGTATCAGCAAACTGCCGAACAGTATGGCGGGCCCCGTCATTATTGGCACAGCAATGGCTACTGGGACCCGAGATCGGCAGGCAGGCCTCCTGGATCTGCCGTCACTTACGATCGCATGCAGGGTCAGGTGCCAGATTCCTTAACCGATGACCGGGAAGAAGAGGAGAATTGGGATCAGCGGGGTGGATCCCATTTTTCAGGCCAATCCAACAAATTTCTTCTATCCCTTCAGAAGGACAAGGGCTCTGTGCAGGCGCCAGAAATAAGCAGCAATTCCATCAAAGACTCTCTAGCTGTGAACGAAAGGAAGGAGTTTTCTAAAAACTTTGAAAAAACTGACCTCAAAGAGAGAGGGCCTCCCAAAAAACGGAGGCAGGAATTGGAGAGCGAGTCTGAAAGCGATGGTGAGCTTCAAGACAGAAAGAAAGTCAGAGTGGAGATAGAGCAGGAGGAGACATCGGTGCCACCACACTCGGAGCTGATCGGGCCTTCCTGCGTCATGGGTGACTTCAGGGACCCACAGCGGTGGAAGGAGTGTGCCAAGCAGGGCAAGATGCCTTGTTACTTTGATCTGATTGAAGAAAATGTTTATTTAACAGAAAGGTGAGTCACAGCAAGGCTTGCATGACACAGTTTTGATACTTGTTAGGTGTTTGATGTAACATAGTTACCTGTTTGGATGCAGTAGTGTGGATTTTCCACCCACCTCGCCCCACCCCTGAAAACAAAACAATATGCCTAATTTTTTTCTCTGCTGTGTCTGGTTCTAAAAGTATAATTAGCTAAGTTTTTCTCGAATTCTTTTTTCATAAGAAAGTGACAGAAAAGGAAATAAAACCTTAGTAGTGTTTAGACTGGGCGCTGGTGGCTCATGCCTATAATCCTAGCTACTCAGGAGGCTGCCATCTGAGAATCCCACTTCAAAGCCATCTCAGGCAAAAAAAATACATAAGACTTTAAAAAACAATTTTTTTTTGCCCCTCCTGGGGCTTGAACTCTGGGCTGAGGCACTGTCTCTTGAGTTTTTTTTTGGGGGGTGAGGGGGTCTGCTCATGGGTCCTGAACTCTGGGCCTGGGTGCTGTCCTTCAGCTCAAGGCTGGCACTCTACCACTTGAGCCACAGCGCCACTTCCGGCTTTTTTCTTTTTGCTTATGTGGTGCTGAGGAATCGAACCCAGGGCCTCATGCATGCAAGGCAAGCGCTCTACCACTGAGCCACCTTCCCAGCCCCTTTTGAGTTTCTTTTGTTCAAGGTTAGGACTCTACCACTTGAGCCACAGCACCACTTCCAGCTTTTTCTCAGTAATTTCCTGGACATGAGTCTCATGGAGACTTTCCTGAGGGGGACTGGCTTTGAACTGAGATCCTAAGATCTTAGCCTTCTGCATAGCTAGGATTAAAGGTGTAAGCCACAGTCTAACGCTTCCATGAGACCCTTAGTTCCAGTTAACTATCAGATAAGTAGAAATGGAGCTATGACTCAAAAGTGGTAGAGCATTAGCCTTGAGCAAAAGCGCTCAAGGATCGTGTGCCAGCCCTGAGTTCAGGCCCCATGAAGCATTTCGTTTCCCTGCCTCCCAGTCCAAGATGTGCACAGTGAAGTATTGTTAGGTCCTTCACAAAGCTGGAAACATGACAGCGGAATTTGCTGTCAGGTATTTAGATGTATTGTTAATTGATTAAATTTGCTAACCGCAGAATACATTTTGGAAATGGTAACATGGTTTTTTTTTTTTTTATTTTTTTTTAATAAAGAAGCAACTTTATTGAGAAGGTTCCTACACTGACCGGCCAGGGCCGCAGCACAGGCTCGGGAGCTGATACTGCGACCCCAAGCGGCCCACGTACTTAGTTTTTTGTTTTTTAAATTTTTTTTTATTGTGATTAAATGATTACATAATTTCCCAAATTTTACAGTATTGTGGGATAGTGATGCTCAGTTAAAGTCACAAACACATTCTGGAGCAAATTATCTATCACAGTCTATAACATTTATGAGTTCTATGAGCTTTGCGATATGGTTATTTCTTCCGGTAACAGGGTTTATTAAAATTCTCTAACAGGGGCTGGGAAGGTGCTCAGTGGTAGAGTGCTTGCCTTGCATGCATGAGGCCCTGAGTTCGATTCCTCAGCACCACATAAGCAAAATGGAAAAAAAAAAACCGGAAGTCGCGCTGTGGCTCAAGTGGTAGAACGCTAACCTTGAGCTGAAGAGCTGAGGGACAGCGCCCAGGCCCAGAGTTCAGGCCCCATGACCAGACCCAAAAAAATAAAAAATAAAAAAATAAAATTCCCTAACATAAAAGAAGAATGATAAGTAAGGAAAATTTACTCCTCTTGAACTTTTACCCCCTCGTTGATAGATAGTATTATTCCCCTCTCTCCACCTGTAATCCTAGCTGCTCAGGAGACTAAAATCTGAGGATAGTGGTTTGAAGCCAGCCCAGGCAGGAAAAGTCCATGAGAATTTTATCTGCAATGAACTCCCAGAAAACCGGAAGTGGTGTTGTGGCTCAGAGTAGTAGAGTTCCAACCTTGAGCAAAGAGCTCAGGAACAGAACCCAGGTCCCAAGTTCAAGCCTCACAACCAACAAAACAAAAAACCCAAATCTATCATCAGCTTTTAATCTCAACTATTACTTTTCCTCATGTGGTCTGATTCTTAAACTTTGACCAGCCGTTATTACTTGAAACTCATGAATTATCCTGTTTATCTCTTGAGTGGAATACGACCATAACACTTGAAAATGCTCACAATCTGATACTTAGCTCATCTGAACTAAGAAATATGGGGTGAGTTTCAAAACAGTAGACTTGAATTCAGTCTTTTTATCTGTCAAGGTTAAGGATGTCTCTGAATTCTTCTTTTCTTTTTTTGTGTTGGTCCTGGGACTTGAACTTAGGGCCTGAGCATTGTCAATGAGCTTGTTTGCTTAAGGCTAGCACCCTTCCACTTCAGTCACAGCTCTACATCTGCCTTGTGGTATTAAAGTGACAGATCTCCTGCGTCTTATATTAATAAGAGTCTGACAGACTTGCCTTGTTGGGCTTGCTTTGAGCTACGATCCTCAGATCTCAGCCTCCTGAGTAGCTGTGATTACTGGTATGAGCCACTGGTGTTCCACTCTAACTTCTTTTTTTTTTTTTTTTTACACATCACTTAAAGAGTTTATTGGCCAGAGATGTGGCTCAAGCAGTTATATACCCTGCCAAGGGATCACGAAGCCCTGACTTAAATCCCAAGCATAGCCAAAAAGGAAAATCAAATGTTTTTCATCTATTAAGTATTAATGATTGTGTTTTCATTCCTCTTTCCCTTCTTCTGTTTCTCCTTTGTCTATGCAGAACAGGCTAGCCTTGAATTAACAGCCTTTGCCTTCCAAATGCTTTATTGCAAATGGTTAATCTATGGGATCATCAAATGTGAAAATGAGATTTGGTGCATATTTGATTATGTGGATTATATCATCTCCAGGATATTTAACCAATTTTTTTATGAAATTTTGCCCAACAGGAAGAAGAATAAATCTCATCGGGATATTAAGCGAATGCAGTGTGAGTGTACACCTCTTTCCAAAGAGGAAAGAGCTCAAGGTGAAATAGCTTGTGGGGAAGATTGTCTCAATCGTCTCCTCATGATCGAATGGTAAGTAGATTAAAGTACTCTGCTTTTATTCAGCTCTTTTTGTAAGTCATTGTATATTCTAAAAATAAGTCAAATGTAATGGTTTTTATTCTACCTATGAATGATTATATTAAAAAGATATCTCACTGGGTGCTGATGGCTCTTGTCTGTTAGTCTGTTAGCCATTTGAAGCCAGTCTAGGCAGGAAAATCCATGAGACTCTTCAATAAACTACCTAGAAAAGGCCGGAAGTAGTACTATGGCTCAAGTGATAGAGTGCTAGCCTTGTGCAAAAGAAGCTCAGCGACAGCACCTAGGCCCTGCATTCAAGCCCAGGACTGGCAGAAAAAAAAAAAAATCCTACTCTTAATTTACTCTCATCAAAGCTTTTCTCTACTTAGCACCTTCTAAAGTAAATCCACCAACTTTTGAGCATAGGTAGAAATATTTTCCGTTTCACAATACATAATAATTATGTATTAATAATGGTGATTTATACTTTAATCTTAGTAGTTATGCAAAGCCATTGTATCTGCCAATTTTGGAATATCAAGATTTCATTGAGGGATGAGGGATGGATCAGTTAGAGAAGAACCTTGCCATATTATATTGCATTTGCTCTGAACAAGACTTGTAATGACTTGGGTTTGTGTGAAATACCTATCAAGTAGATGACTGCATTCAGAAAAACAAATTACTGATGATTTGAGTGGAATATGATTCAAGTGTCCATAAATAAGTTAGTTCTGCATAGTTGACAAGATTCTACAACTATATGATACACAGCCTGGCAGGGCTGTAGATGAAGCTACAGGCAGTATTGCAGACATACTCCCTCAGGTAATATGGTAAAAATGTAGCTAGTTCTAAGGAATCCTGTAGTGCCAGAAGGAATTTTTGATGAAGTCTGTACATGAACACTGCTAGCCCTAAAGACGTGGCTACATTTTGCTGCTCTTGCTGTTTATAAAGAATAAACTTTTACCAACTTCTCGTTTCAGTTCTTCTCGATGCCCAAATGGGGATTTTTGTTCCAACAGACGGTTTCAGAGAAAACAGCATGCAGACGTAGAAGTCATACTTACTGAAAAGAAAGGCTGGGGCTTAAGAGCTGCCAAAGACCTCCCTTCGTAAGTTCTGTTGTAATCACCTTTCATTTTTGTTGAACAAGGTTGGATGTTTTGCAGGAAAATACTGCACTGAGCTTATTTATGATTATTGTGCAGCTCACACCTGTAATCCTAGCTACTCAGGAGGCTGAGATCTGAGAACCGAGGTTCAAAGCCAGTGTGGGCAGGAAAGTCCCTGAGACTCTTATCTCCAATAAACAACTAGAAAACTGGAAGTGGCTCTGTGGCTCAAGCGGTAGAGTGCTTGCCTTGAGCTGAAGAGGGCAAAGACAGCACCCAGGCCCAGAGTTCAAGCCCCACAACCTACCAAAAAAAAAAAAATTGAGTTTTAGAGAATCAAGTAAAAAAACTTCTCTGTCTATATACAGGAAGAGAATTTCATTACTCGTGACAGATGTGCATGTCCTTTCTTCCTCAGATAGTTTTGTTCCCTTTGATTTTAAGTCATCACGAGTTTTTGCTACAGCTCCTCAGCATCTATGCAGTGCTATAAAAAGGAATTAAAGAACAGGTATAGGGTACAGACCTGTAATCCCAGTTGTTAGGCAACAGGAAGCAGGAAGATCTTGAATCTTGTGTACTATCATGTCAGAGTCTTTCTTCTGATACGTAGGGATCTCGTGAACTCTTTGCCTTCCCGGTCTAGAGCCATGATCCTCCTCAGCCTCTTGGGTGCCACCTTCCGCGGCTGTTTGTTTGAGATGAGACTTTTGAGTTTTTTTACCCATGTTGTCCTCAAAGCCCAGTCCTCTTGATCTCTACCTGCTGAAGTAGCTAGGGTTACATGGTGCGAACCACTGGTGCCTGCCCTAAATTTCTTAGGTATAGTATGTTTCATCATTTTGAAAGATCCTTAATAAAAGAGGATTTTTTTTTTCACTTGGCTATGTTAACCATGTTGTCTTCTTTTAATAATTACATTGATTTTGTCAACATGTTACTAAGAAATACCTACTGTACATTTAAAAAATCCCTTTGGTAACAGTATGCTTATTTTGTGGGTGAAAACTTCCAGGCAGGCTATTTCAGGTCAGAACTCGGGACTAAAGCATAATGAAGCCTTTGTTTACATAGAGCCAGCCAATAGCTGAAGTCACTGGTGAGAATGAGCTTCCTTTGTTTTGCAGGAATACCTTTGTCTTGGAATACTGTGGAGAAGTACTTGATCATAAAGAGTTTAAAGCTCGAGTGAAGGAATATGCACGAAACAAAAATATTCACTACTATTTCATGGCTCTGAAGAATGATGAGGTGAGAGGCATTAGCTGTGTTTTGCTTTGAAACCAATTTGAAAATATGGGGGTTTGAAGGGGTTTTGTGTCATTTGAGAGGACATAAGAGCCAGAGAAGTATAGTTTTACACAGCCTCTATTTGTTGCTAGGAAAGGATGGGAAGCTCCTCATTGGTGCCTCGCACCTGTATCCTATCTACTCAGGAGGCTGAGATCTAAGGGTGGTGATTTGAAGTCAGCCTGGGCAGGAAAAGTCTGTGAAACTCTAATCTCCACTAAACCGAGGAAGCTGGAAGTGGAGTTGTTGGCTCAAGCTGTAGAGCATTAGCTCTTAAGCAAAGAAAGCTGTGGGACAGTGTCCAGGCCCTGAGTTCAAGCCCCAGAATTGGCCCAAAAGAAAGAAAAGGCCCAAAAGGGAGAGGGAAGTAATTGGGTCTATATGTCAACATCAGTACACATGCTTTATGTCACAAGTCTTTAACATTACTATGACCTCCAAAATCCATTTCTAGGTTATATCTGGCAGTTCATAAAATAATAAAAATAGAAACAACTTTAGAAATGTTTTGATACAAACAGTAAGTGTTAGGATTTTTTTTTTTTTAATTGTCGGTCATGGGGCTTGAACTCTGGGCCTGGGCTCTGTTTCTTGAGCTCTTCAGCTCAAGGCCAGTGCTCTACCATTTGAGCTGCAGCACTACCTCTGGTTTTCTGGTGGTTCATTGGGGATCAGAGTCTCATGGCCTTCCTGCCTGGGCTGGCTTTGAACTGTGATCCTCAGATCTCAGCCTCCTGAGTAGCTAGGATGACAGGCGTGAGCCACCAGCACCCAGCTGGAAACATTTTTTCAAAAGAATATTTTTAGGGTGAAAGTAACATGCTAATGACATACATTTTTGTGAAGCCTTTTCTGTGTGGCCTAGTAGGGGTGACCTAGCTTCCCCCCTTTGCCTCTACATTCAAGGTGGGGATTGCAATTCTAACTTCTCCACTTGCGGACTAACTCAGCAAGTTTTCAAATTCCTTAAGGAATTTGGATGTGCATGCAGTTTTAGAGCTACTGCATTGTGGCAGGGATCATACTTCAAAATGAAGTCTTACATATATAAAATAATACTGGAATGCAGTAGGAGATAAGCCCCAGTGAAAAGTAAGTGAGAAACACATTGACAAATACAGATGCTATTTTGCCATAATTTTTTGGTAGTGGTAGGCTGACTGGAGTTGTACTAGGGATCAAGACTTGCGATGCAGATATGCCACCTCTTGAGCCACAGGTCCCCCCCCTTTTTTTTTAATTTAAATTTTAACTTTATTTTTTTTTATCAAGTCTTGTTTTTTTGTTTTTTGGTTTTTTTTTTTTTTTGCTAGGCCAGACCCTGAACATGATCTTACCTATGTAGCTTCCCACGGGCATGGATCACTATGCCCAGTTGGTTGGTTGAGGTGGGAGTTTATTAATAACTTTCTGTTCCAGCTGCTTCCTGCGTAGCTAGAATTATGAGTGTGACCTACTGTGCGTGGCACTCCAAAACATTTACAGTTAAGAGATTTTCCAGAAAAAAAAAAAAAGCAGATCTTTATTTGTCACTTGGATGTGTAAAATAGTATGAGAAAAGTTGTATAAATCAGGCTGGGGGCAAAGAAGTTTATCTTAACTTTGCCTTAATGTTTTTTTACCTTTGCAAAATGTTTGACTCTTTAAAGATCTCATTTCAGAACTCTTCTTCTTTCTCCAGATAATAGATGCTACTCAGAAAGGAAATTGCTCTCGTTTCATGAATCACAGCTGTGAACCAAACTGTGAAACCCAAAAAGTAAGTTATGTGGATTTAATGTGTGAGCTTAGGCAGTACATAAAAGGTACTCATGAATTTTATTTTTGTTATATTTTCCTGTGTTCATTTTGAAATAAGTTTAGAGTTCTAAAGTATAGTAAATTCTCCCATATTCCATCCTTTACCTACTTTTTTTCAATGTTAACATCATTTGGAATCATAATAAAATGATTATACTGAGGAATACTATTGATTAACCAAAAGATCTTTTTTTAAATTTTGACAGCTGTAATTTTTCTGGTTCAGCTCTGGGATTCACATTACAATGGATTGTTCCCTTGCCTATAGTTATTTTAGATAACGATGTAAAAGATGCCAAAATATGTCTAGATTTTCATTATTGTGAAGTCCATTGGGTACTGATATATTCAGGGTATTTTTTTAATCAAGTCTTGCACAGGTGTGAAATTGGACTGTTGTAATAAAACTCATGAAGGACTAAATAGCCCAAGTTGAGAGGGAGTAGAAATTCCTCATTAAGAAAGCTGTGGGCCTTCTTCCTAATTAAATATGTCCATTAGGCTATGGACCCATAGATAAGTATCATTGGAGCTAGGTGCCAGTGGCTCATGCCTGTAATAGTACCTATCCAGGAGGTTGAGATCTGAAGATTGAGGTTCAAAGCACAAAGTCCAAAGTCCCCACCAGACTCTTTTCTCTAATTAAAGCTTAAAAAAAAAAAACAGACATGGTGCTGTGGCTCAAGTGGTAGAGTGCTAGCTTTGAGTACCAAGAGATTTAAGGATAGTACCCAGGCCCTGAGTTCAAGCCCTATACTGACAGTAAAAAGAAAGAAAAGAAAGTCGCTTTCATGAGTACATCAATGTTTCACAAACTCCATGACCAATCTTAGAAGGTTTTGTTTTTGTTTTTTGTTTTGTAAATACTGAGGCTTGAACTCAGGGCCATGGGCACCCTGCTCCTGAGCTTCTTTTACTCAAGGCTAGCACTCTACTACTTGAGCCACAGAGCCATTTCCAGCTTTTTCTGTGTATGTGGTACTGAGGAATGGAACCCAGGGCTTCATGCATGCTAGGTGAGCACTCTACCACTGTAGTCACCTTCCCAACCCAAGGGTGTTTTTTGTTTTGTTGTTTTTTGCGGGTCCTGGGGTTGAATTCAGGGTCTGCATGCTGTCCCTGAGCCTCTTTGTTGTCAAAGCTATCACTCTTTCACTTGAACCACAGCTCCACTTCCAGAACTTTTTTTTTTTCTTTTTGTCGGTCATTGGGCTTGAACTCTGGGCCTGGGCGCTGTCCCTCAGCTCTTCAGCTCAAGGCTAGTGTTCTACCACTTGAGCTACAGCGCCACTTCACTTCCAGAACTTTTTTTGTTGTTGTTGTTGTTGTTTTTGGTAGTAGGACCTGAACTCTGGCCCTGGGCACTGTCCCTCAGCTCTTCAGCTCAAGGCTAGCACTCTACCACTTGAGCCACAGCACCACATCGGCTTTTTCCTGCTTATGTGGTGCTGAGGAATTGAACCCAGGGCCTCATGCATGCAAGGCAAGCGCTCTACCACTGAGCCACCTTCCCAGCCCAACTTCCAGAACTTTTAACATAAACTTTTCACTAACCTTATGATATTCCATGACATCAAGCATCCCCTCCCCACTTTGCCTTTTGTTTTTTTTTTAGAAAAAGTGCATATATAGAGAGAGCACATTGTATATTTAAGATGTGTTAATTGTAGCTGTGTTAATGTAGTAGGCTAGTTCTCTGCCATTGAGCTCCGCACCTATCTCAGTAGCAATCAATTTTATTAATCAGAGATAAACTATACATATATCTAATCTGGTGGTTCATTAATTAACCATTACACTTAAATGTTTTAACAACAAAGTTCTTATTTGCTATTTGGAAAACCTTTATAGCCTAAGGAGCTATACGTGTATATTTTTATTTATTTGTCAGTCATGGGGCTTGAACTCTGGGCCTGGGCGCTGTCCCTGAGCTCTTCAGCTCAAGGCTAGTGCTCTACCACTTGAGCCACAGCACCACTTCTGGTTTTCTGGTGGTTTATTGGAAATAAGAGTCTCATGGACTTTCCTGTCAGGGCTGGCTTTGAACCTCCATCCTCAGATCTCAGCCTCCTGAGTAGCTAGGATTACAGGTGTGAGCCACCGGTGCCTGGCCCGTGTATATTTTAGATTATTACTATCATCTTTGGTGGCACTGTGTGGTTTCCGTTCCAAAATATGATGATGATGGGTTGTGTGTTTGTGTGCACTTATTTCTTCTCTTTTCTCAAAACATTTCAGTGGACTGTGAATGGACAACTAAGGGTTGGGTTTTTTACAACCAAACTGGTTCCATCAGGCTCAGAATTAACGTTTGACTATCAGTTTCAAAGATACGGGTGAGTGTGGCTTTTTTCTTCTAATAATTCTGGAAATAGGCTATTTGGTTGTATGTGTGTGTATTTATATGTGAATTTATATTTTTGTTCCCAGACCAAGTATGTTTACAACCTATAATGTTACTGTATTTCATAAAAAAGGACAATTGTTCCTTATTGGCTAGTTTTGTTTAGTAAAATAAGATTGGAGAAAGAATGAATATTAAGCTAGGTGCTAGTGGCTCATGCCCATAGTCAATCCTAGGTACGCAGGAGGCTGAGGCAGGAAAGTTCATGACATTCTTTGTCTCCAGTTAACCAGCAGAAAACTGGAAGTGGAGCTGTGGCTCAAAGTAGTAAAACACTAGCCTTGGGTACAAAAGCTCAGGGACTGCCCAAACCCTGAGTCCAAGCCCCAGGACTGACCAAAAAAATAAGAGCAATGCAATGTCAGTCCCTTTTTTTTAGTGTGATGCTTTGAGTAATTGTTATATTCTTGACTTTTTTGTCAGTTGTGGGCCTTGAACTTGGCCTGGGTGCTGTCCTTGAGCTCTTCAGCTTAAGGCTAGCACTCTACCACTTGAGCCACAGCGCCACTTCTGGTTTTCTGGTGATTAAGTGGAGGTAAGAGTCTCAGATGTTCCTGCCCAGGCTGGCTTTGAACCGCAATCCTCAGATCTCAGCCACTTGAGTAGCTAGGATTACAGGCATGAGCCACTGGTGCATGGCATATTCTTGACATTTTGTTATGGTTCACTTTTACATAGTTGATTTCTTTCCTATGCTTGTTAAACAGAAAAGAAGCCCAGAAATGTTTCTGCGGATCAGCAAATTGCCGGGGTTACCTGGGAGGAGAAAACAGAGTTAGCATCCGAGCAGCAGGAGGGAAAATGAAGAAAGAACGATCTCGAAAGAAGGATTCAGTAAGTAATCCATTTGTTTTTCAACTTTTCACACTACAAATTTAAAATTTTTTTTTTTGGGTCCGGTTGTGGGGCCTGAACTCTGGGGCTGGGCGCTGTCCCTCAGCTCTTCAGCTCAAGACTAGCACTCTACCACTTGAGCCACAGCACCACTCTCGGCTTTTTTTTCCCTGCTTATGTGGTGCTGAGGAATCGAACCGAGGGCCTCATGCATGCAAGGCAAGCGCTGTACCACTGAGCCACCTTCCCAGCCCTCACACTACAAATTTTGAGAAGGGAGATAGATTTTTCTAATTGAAGTGTATTATAAAAAATTCAATTTAGCTATTCTAGGACCAGATGAAGAAATTCTGGAAAAAAAATACGATTATTTCATTTCAGATTCATAGATTAGAATTGGGTACTAAGAACTACTGAAGTGGTTTGTTGTTGTTTTTTTAATTGAAGTTTATTTCTTCCCATGCACATATGTATTTTTGCCTACTTTAATGGAAATTAAATCATACTGGACAAAGCCTTTTGTCTTTGGTTTTATGGATTACTTTTTTTTTTTTTTATAAATTTTACATTTTAGCTTTACATTTACCTAAGTTAATGTATATCCACAATTTATTTTCACGGTCATTCAGTTTGCTATGTGATTGAGTATGTAGCAAATCCATTCTAATGTTAGTAGATATTGGCGTTTTTTTCTCATTTTTTCCCTCCACATTTTGGAAAGTCCATGAGACTCTTTTTTTTTTTTTTTTTGGTCAGTCATGGGGCTTGAACTCTGGGCCTGGGCACTGTCCCTGCGCTCTTCAGCTCAGGGCAAGCACTCTAGGCTTGAGCCACAACGCCACTTCCTCCTCCACATTTTGGAAGCAATGATGTTGTGACTCCTGGATGTATGTTACAGATATTTTCTCTCTGGTTACATAACTGGAAGTGCAAATGCTGGCTCATACCATGTATATACATTCACCATTAGTAAATAATACCACAGTGTTTCTAAAGTGCCTGTGCCCATGAACATCCCCATCAGTGGTATATGAGAGCTACTGTTGTTCTTATGCATCGTACTACTTAAATTTAATCTACAAAGTACATGACATTTAATAGAATTTTTTTTTTCTGATCCTGGAACTTGAACTCAGGGCCTGGGTTGCTGTCCCTGAGCCGCTTTTGCTTAAGGCTAGTGCTCTACCACTTGAGCCACAGCTCTACTTTTGGGTTTTTGGTAGATTATTGGAGAGAAGAGTCTCATGGAGTTTACTGCCTGCACTGGCTTTCATTCACAATAATCACATCTCAGCCGTCTGAGCATCTAGGATTACAAGTGTGAGCCGCAAGTACTCGGCAACTATGTCTATTTAATAGTAATTTTAATTCATACCCCTTATTACTAATGAGGTTGACTGCTTTCCAAATTTATTGACTATTTGGATTAGTCAGCTGTTTCTGGAAAGGTGTCTGTTTTTTTTCTTAGTATTTTTTTTAATTGATTGGGTGCGTGCGTGTGTGTGTGTCTGTATCTGAATAGTAGTGATTGGTTTTTGGTGTTGAAAGCATGTATTCTCCTTCATGAACCTTTTTACCCTTTGCTGTACTTGAGCTTTGAAAATGATGAAAGCTCTATTTGGATTTCTGTGTTGGTGTGAATGTTTTTAATAAAGTCTGGGCACTGGTGGCTCATGCCTGTGATCCCAGCTCTTCAGGGGGCAGGAATCTGGAGGACTGAGGTTTGAGGTCAATAGCAAAGTCCTAAAGACTCCATCTCACAGCTTGGCTTCTAGTACAGCTTCAGTGATAGTGGGAGGTCCTAGCAGATTATGAGGAACTGAGTTTAAACCCTAGTTCTACCTTCCAAAAGAATTCCATTCAGCAATTATTTTTCTTTCATATTTTGTTTGTACAATTTTATTTTGCAATTTTGTCATTCTTGCTGTTTTCTGTAAAATGGCAATTTCCTGTAAACCGCTATTTTATTTCCCAGTAATAATATTTATTTTCAGAAGGTACTGATTGAATGAAAACAATATAATAATTCAGTTTTGTCTCATTTTTCAAAAAACTGTAAAGAAAAATTACCTTTTTATTTTATTTTTTTGCCAGTCCTAGGGCTTGAACTTGAGCCTCTTTGTGCTCAAGGCTAGCACTCTACCACTTGAGCCACAGCGCCACTTCCGGCTTTAAGCCAGCCCAAGCATGAAAGTCCATGAGACTCTTATCTCCACTTAACCACAGAACTGGAAGTGGAGCTATGACTCAAAAAGTTGTAGAGCGTTAGCCTTAAGCAAAAGAGCTCAGGGACAGTGCCCAGCCCCTGAGGTTAAGCCCTACAACTGAGGACAGGAAAGAAAAGAGAAAAAATAAAAAAAAGGAGCCATTGCAATTTTTTTCCCTCCCTAGAATAATGGCATAGGTTCTTACTGTGTATTCATCTTTCCAATTACTTGTGAAGCAGAGCAACTTTTCAGGTTGTTTCATTTTAAAATTCGTAGGTTTGTTTTGTCTGTTTTAAATAACCAAAATTTTTTTCTTTGCTGTGGTAGGTAGATGGAGAGCTGGAAGCGCTGATGGAAAACGGAGAGGGTCTCTCTGATAAAAACCAGGTGCTCAGTTTATCCCGGCTAATGGTGAGAATTGAAACTTTGGAGCAGAAACTTACCTGTCTTGAGCTCATTCAGGTAAACACCAATACTGATGTGCTTTATTTTTTAATTTGGGCTGAGACAGTCTAAGTGATGAGTTAATCTTTTGTTTGTTTGTTTTTTTAATGTAAAGATGAGTTCTATAGGACTTTGAAAGTTTGTTCTTCTAAAAATATAACTGAAGAGTTCATTATTAGTAGTAAACTTGGTTTGCTTTCTCTACTTAAAAGAATATAGTAAACTGTTTTCTTTTCTTTTTGGTGTAATAATTCGTTACACCTGGCATATAGGTTCAACCTCTTCCACACCAGTTATTAGCATGACAAACTATTTTACTAACACAGTATTAAAGTAAGATATTTAAACAGTAATCTCATTCTATTAAATATACCATAAGAAAATAGGTATCTCAAAAAGGAAAATAGGTATTCTCTATTTTTTATTTTTGGTATTCTCTATTTTTAATATATGAGGGATGAGTATACCTGAGTGGTAGTTTATTTGATTTTTAGTCTTACAGAGAAGAAAAAAAAATCTTTACAGGAAAGGAAAAACTATTTTTTTTGGGGGGGGGTAGTCCGGTTGTGGGCCTGAACTCTGGGTCT